GGGGCTGGGTGGGAGGGTGGGCGGGTGGGAGAGGGGTGGGGGTGGGAGGGTGGGCTGGGTGGGAGGGGTGGGGCTGGGTGGGAGGGATGGGGCTGGGTGGGGAGGGTGGGGCTGGGTGGGGAGGGGGTGGGGAGGGTGGGCTGGGTGGGAGGGGTGGGGCTGGGTGGGAGGGGTGGGGCTGGTGGGAGGGATGGGGCTGGGTGGGAGGGGTGGGGAGGGAGGGGCTGGGTGGGGATGGTGGGGCTGGGTGGGGAGGGTGGGGCTGGGTGGGAGGGAGGGATGGGGCTGGGTGGGAGGGGTGGGAGGGGTGGGGAAGGTGGGGCTGGGTGGGGAGGGAGGGGCTGGGTGGGGAGGGGCTGGTCACCCCGTGGTGCCCTTATAAAACTCAACGTTTAACCTACTCACGCCGGCTTGTGCCCGCCCTCACAGTCGGGCATATTTGTGGAATACACCACGCCGCCGTTGACCCTGGCCATTGACCGAGCAACCCAACGTTCCTACCAGCTCCCTCCGCAGGAATGTGTTACTTGTGTAGGGGTGTCATGGGAAGGATTCCCACCAATAGGAGGGTTAGTGGGAGGGGTAATCGAGAAGATATGAAGGGAGAACGGAGGGGAAGAAGGGGCTTTTGGCGGGAACGAGATTGGGACGGCTGGGGACAGGTGTGGATGGGAGAAAAGGATTAAGAGACGAATCCCCTGCAACCTTGTGTCGGCTCTCCCTTACACTCGTAATGAATAGCATCATTTGCTTTGTGACCGCTCCATTCCGACGCGCTGAGGTCAACGCGGTTATGCTGAAGTCGAGCGAGCAGGTAAGAGCCGTGTTCATGATTTAGAATGAAATGTCCGAATGTTTCGCTATTCTAATTGGCAAGAGATTCTAATTATGATTGTTGGTGTAAATATTGAAATGAAAGTGCTAACTCTGCGCACGTTTAATACGCTGCCGCACATATATACGCTGTTGTGCATATGCACGCATTGTTATAGCGTTGCAAGTCCATAATATATCTTGCCATACACTACAGTACCTAGTGATCGCAAATACGACAACCCGCTATGCATCAAGCCTTGTTCTCGATGTCATTTCACTGCATCGTCAAATATCGAGCAGCCGGAAAGGCTGCAACCAGCAACTCATTTGTGGCAGGAGTTCTCATTTTGTGAGCTAATGCAGAACAGGCGCCAACTCGGAAACACCACGTTTATCTAATTGCTGAATGACTTGAGAATCGGCCTTATCAAAAGTGAGAACATCAACCTTTTAGAAAAAATGGAGGACAACAGCAGCTTGTGAGACTTTACCGTTGAAAAGGCTCCGTGAATATCCCTGCAACGGCCAACCAAATAGATGATTAGAACAACAAAGTCCTTCGGCATTATCGCCATCGAAATATCCAAATGTCTGTGATCAAAGCCTAGGATCGTTATTGTTGACTCATCACGAAGCACTGAAAATGTTGACCTTGAAAGATTGATTCCATCGGACGCCAACGAAACCGCAGGCCTTCCAAAACAGCTGACCCTGTTTCCAGGCGCAAAAGTGATCGTTACAATGTCAATGTAGGAAAAGGACTAGTCAATTGAACAATGGGACAAATAACTGACATCCTCTGGCCTATGTTTCGTCGAGCTCAGGTGTATGCAGAGGGACATTCTATCGGTAACGATAGATTTCGGAGAGATTGGAGTTCACCGGATTGAGCCAGTTCCTTGCCAAAACACATTTCTGCGGAGGGAGCTGGTAGGAACGTTGGGTTGCTCGGTCAATGGCCAGGGTCAACGGCGGCGTGGTGTATTCTGCAAATATGCCCGACTGTGAGGGCGGGCACAAGCTGGCGTGAGTAGGTTAAACGTTGAGTTTTATAAGGGCACCACGGGTGACCAGCCCCTCCCCACCCAGCCCCTCCCCACCCAGCCCCACCCAGCCCCTTCCCACCCTCCTCACCCAGCCCCTCCCCACCCTCCCCACCCAGCCCCTCCTCACCCTCCCCACCCAGCTCCTCACCCTCCCCACCCAGCCCCTCCTCACCCTCCCCTTCCCACCCAGCCCCTCCCTGCACGACGGACACAATAATCCCCTGTGGGCTGGTATATTCATTTGGAAGTACAGATCGGCATCGCGCTCGCTGAAGGTGTTGATGCCTTCAGGGAAGTCGTGTGCTGTAAACACAACTGCGCACAATTCTGTGAGTCACTTATAACCGCTTTGCCGTTACTTATTGCCAATTATGGACTCAGACTATTGTCCTATCATCTCATAGAGACTCTGGCACGTGATAATATGCTACACAGTAGCAGTGGGGGTCGCAAAATGCCGATTTATTACTAATAAACCCCAATGATCCGATCGAAATTAGGGATTTCGATTGGATAATTGGGGGGGCACGTGCCACCCCACCCACCCCCCCATGGCTCTGCCAGTGCATCGAGCAGAGTGCGATCACGAGTTGGATTGAAACTGGAATCATTGGAATGCACCAAGCTTCCAGGAAGCAATCTATGCAGTAAAAAGGCACTAGATGAGATCAATCGACTTAGATAATTTTCATCCTATTACTCTATCTGTATCACGAAATCTCACATTCACAGAAAAGTCATGTATACATTTTTTTTATAACAACGCATATTTATTTAATAGCATAGTAAAAGCATTGAAAGCAAATATTAAAACAAAAGTATACAATAAATTAGGTTAATAAAAGTTTTTCAATGCACACACTTTCATATGCACTAAAAAGTACATTCTTTTGAACCCAAAAAGAATCAAATTTTACGTGCTGAATAAAAGTGTGTGGTTTCCTTTCGATATATGGAATTTGCTTTATGCAATTCACAAATACAGAAATAATAATGTAATTAAAAAATATTCCCCATATAACCTTTAACAGACTGATGGGGCAAGTGCTGTTAGCAAGTAGCTCCTATGACGGCCGGCACGGCACATCGGGGGGTGAGAGACCAGCACCACGCCCGGCCGCCTTTGTCTCCCCAGTGGCGATGTGTTACACACTGCACCAGGTACTCATTTGAAGCCGAGTCGACCTAGGGGAGGCACTACCGCTCCCCACAACACCATCGCCACCTTCGCCATGACCACCACATCATCATCATAACGTGAATGATTAAATACTTTATTTTTCGTACAAAGTTAAATAGCAAAACACGAAACGTTCAAACATTGTACAGCAATCGGGATTGTTCATTGTTCAATAAGCACAGCCGCTGTTGAACATTCTAAACGTATAAAAGTACGTTGTTTAAATGCAAAGCACAGAGGCAGAATTCCCAAGTTGGTACGAGTTCTGAACCGTCTTAACGCCTCTCTGATTTTCTTGGTCCTTTCGGTAAAGTCACGTAGAAGGGAAATAATAAAATAATAAAAATAAAACATTTAATAATTCTCACGATGTTTCGGCCACAACGCAAGCAGCCGTCCTCAGGTGAAGAACAGGTCTGCCTCGCTCATTATCTGCAAACGCGGCAGTTAAATGAATACAACACGCTTCTAAATACTTCTCTAAAAATATATATTTTTTATCGTCTATTTTGTAGAGAAGAACAGCCCAGTGCTCTTCACAACCCGCCGGTTGTGGTGTACACTGCAGCTGCAACATATGTGTACATGTTATATATATATATCGTTTATTGTTAAATTTAAATCACAGTTCCTATGATTACTGTTGTTACATTGTTTTTATAGCGTTATTTTGGTGATTTCGAAAACGTGGGTAATCCAAATTGTATTATGGTTGTTATTGTTTAGCGTGCATCACACTGGGATTTTTGCACACAGCGTTTTTTTTTTCTGGAAGATTTGCTGGTTTATCCCAGGATGTTTCTGTTGCGCGTCGTCGCTTTAAGATGTTCTCCGTTCATATTTTGTCTGTTGCGGTTGCACCCGACTCAAGAGCCGCATGGCTCACAAGGCTATATCAATGAAATGAAACGTGTGCACCGTGTACCTGTTCAGTACTGTTGTGGATATAGCGCCCTCTAGTGGCTGCAGGGGTGGGGGTCAGGTGAGACCACCCTCCACGTGTTTTGACCCGAGACGGTGTCGTTAGACCTATTTACTAAACTAATTTACAAACTCATCAACCAATTCACTCAACACAATCTGGTTAACGACTTGCGCGGTTATCTTCCGTGCCAATCGACTGCTCAACCAAACCACTCAATAATTTATTACTTAATCAATTAACCAATTAACTCGTTAAACAATCGGCTCACTCGCCAATGAACCAATTTAACCGATCACAACATGAACACACAAACCAATAAACTCGTAAACCAATCAACTCACTAACCTCAGGTTTTTTTCGGTAAAGTCACGTAGGTAAAAATAAATGTTCAATAATCTGGCTGTGACGGTCCCACTTGATGACGAAGACTTGTGTTGCCTCCGAAACGTCGTGATTTATTATTAAATTTCTACCATATTAATTATTTATTTCACAAATTTGTGTTTATTTTTTATTTATTTCCCCCTACGTGCATTTACCGAAAAAAAACCTAAGAGTATGAATCCTTGCAGTCACGAAAGCTTAAAATCTAGAACTCACTGACCAATTATCTAATGAACCAATCGCTCGATGAACTCATTAACCAATCGGCTTCCTCTAAACATAATCGCTCAATTTAATTCATTCAACCAATCGGCTCTCTAGGCCAATCACGTGCGTGACCCCCCCCCCCCCAACCTCATAGACGAGCGGTGACTCTCGATTTAAAGCTTTCGTGACTGCAGGGATTCATCTTCTTGGTTCTTTCGGTAAAGTCACGTAGAAGGGAAGTAGTAAAATAATAAAATAATTCTCACGACGTTTCGGCCACAACGCAAGCAGCCGTCCTCAGGTGAATGACGCTGTCTCCCCGACAGACCTGGTTTTCACCTGAGGACGGCTGCTTGCATTGTGGCCGAAACGTCATGAGAATTATTTTATTATGTTTTATTTTTATTATTTTATTACTTCCCTTCTACGTGACTTTACCGAAAGAACCAAGAAGATAGCGGCGACTCCTCACTCATTCCCCAGCCTCTCCCTCCGCTGCCCCGCTGCACCCCCCCATCGCTGCATTAATCGGGACCTCAGCAGGTGTTGTGGGAGCCCGGACCCCGGGAGGTTGCCGATCGTGGAGGTCACCCAGGAGGAGAAGGAGCAGACGCGGGTGTACACTCCGGGGTAGTGTGCGCGCCCACAATCCTTCCCCCACGAGATGACACCCTGAACGGTTCCGTCACACACCAGCGGGCCCCCAGAGTCTTTCTGCGTGTACGGGGGGGGGGGGGGGGGGGGGGGGGGGGGGGCGGAGAAGAAGGAGATGGAACGGAGATGAAAACGACTGTGAGATCGAGACGCACGCACAATGACCTCCACCATCGGCCCTGGCACGAACATTCCTAGAATTTGCCAGTAAAAATATGATAATTGGTTCTTTACCCTTCTATCTGGCAACAAAACTGACACCTTTTTGCAAGGAGTCATGTTTGCATAGACCGCAATACCTGCAGTCATAATACAAACAAAAGAACATAACTCTGATAATGTGCACTGTCCTTGAAGTTGATTGGTCCACACCCGAGACAGCTTTCCTTCGAGCCTAGTCTCATATGGGTTGGACCAGATGACGCCAAAAGGCGCACAACTCAAGGACAATGCACCATCAGAGTATGAGAGCTCGGGGCAAGCATCTACACTATGGGGACCTCATTTGCCAGTAAAAATATGATAATTGGTTCTTTACCCTTCTATCTGGCAACAAAACTGACACCTTTTTGCAAGGAGTCATGTTTGCATAGACCGCAATACCTGCAGTCATAATACAAACAAAAGAACATAACTCTGATAATGAGGACTGTCCTTGAAGTTGATTGGTCCACACCCGAGACAGCTTTCCTTCGAGCCTAGTCTCATATGGGTTGGACCAGATGACGCCAAAAGGCGCACAACTCAAGGACAATGCACCATCAGAGTATGAGAGCTCGGGGCAAGCATCTACACTATGGGGACCTCATTTGCCAGTAAAAATATGATAATTGGTTCTTTACCCTTCTATCTGGCAACAAAACTGACACCTTTTTGCAAGGAGTCATGTTTGCATAGACCGCAATACCTGCAGTCATAATACAAACAAAAGAACATAACTCTGATAATGTGCACTGTCCTTGAAGTTGATTGGTCCACACCCGAGACAGCTTTCCTTCGAGCCTAGTCTCATATGGGTTGGACCAGATGACGCCAAAAGGCGCACAACTCAAGGACAATGCACCATCAGAGTATGAGAGCTCGGGGCAAGCATCTACACTATGGGGACCTCATTTGCCAGTAAAAATATGATAATTGGTTCTTTACCCTTCTATCTGGCAACAAAACTGACACCTTTTTGCAAGGAGTCATGTTTGCATAGACCGCAATACCTGCAGTCATAATACAAACAAAAGAACATAACTCTGATAATGTGCACTGTCCTTGAAGTTGATTGGTCCACACCCGAGACAGCTTTCCTTCGAGCCTAGTCTCATATGGGTTGGACCAGTCAGTTTTGTTGCCAGATAGAAGGGTAAAGAACCAATTATCATATTTTTACTGGCAAATGAGGTCCCCATAGTGTAGATGCTTGCCCCGAGCTCTCATACTCTGATGGTGCATTGTCCTTGAGTTGTGCGCCTTTTGGCGTCATCTGGTCCAACCCATATGAGACTAGGCTCGAAGGAAAGCTGTCTCGGGTGTGGACCAATCAACTTCAAGGACAGTCCTCATTATCAGAGTTATGTTCTTTTGTTTGTATTATGACTGCAGGTATTGCGGTCTATGCAAACATGACTCCTTGCAAAAAGGTGTCAGTTTTGTTGCCAGATAGAAGGGTAAAGAACCAATTATCATTCCTAGAATTCTTAGCATCATCGTCGTCTTCGTCACCGTAATAATCCGGTGGACATCTGTCCCAAGGCAGAATCATAATATTTTTTTACTCGACGAATTCGATGCGCTATCCAGCTCTGTTTCACAGATGTCCAACCAAGTAAGGCACCCGTACTCAAACGCCAACAACGCAACCACCACCTCCTCCCTCTGCAGAGGCCCCGTGGACTGAATTCTGGCTCCAAAGGCACGGGGTGGTTCTCTACTGGTGGAAGGATGCCACCGGAGAACACGGAGTAGTTGTGGATTTCCTCGAAATTATAGAATAAGAGAATTGATGGGGAGCATGGGAGGGTGGAGGCGAGATTTGGGGAGCCGTGAGTCGCATTCTCATCATGGAAGGTGGGCGGTGATGGCAGTGAATGTCGGTGGCCTCCTGTTGCAGGTGCTGGCTAAAGCAGCCCCTTGGGATAGAGTTGTCTAATTGGGCGACTTTAATGCCGCTCCACACTCATACACACACTCTCATACACACCCTCACCACAACATTTACCCTCATCACGCCCCTCACCCCTCTCACCCCCCCTCACCTTGCACGCATCTCTCCCGCCTTCCATGAACCCGGCACAGAACATGGAGTTGGTGAGCGCGGGGCCGTAACTCTTGCGGCAGAGGTGTTTGTCGATGACGGTCACGTTGAGGCACTCCGAGGACTTGGGGAAGATACCAGCTGGGGGGGGCACGGGGGGGGGGAGGAGAGGGGGGGGGAGCGGGGGGTTAGTCACGGCGTCTCTTCCATGGGCGTTCCTGTGCGTGTCCACGTGTGTGTGTCTATATCCACGTGTGTGTGTCTATATCCACGTGTGTGTGTTTATAAGTGGGGAGGGAGTAGTAGTGTAGTGGTGCGCATGCTGTGCTAGGAACCTGGTGACCCGAGTTTGATTCCCGCTCGCGGCTAACACCAGTGCTAATTATCTGAATTGGTCCAGGACCTCCCCTAGGTCGACTCAGCCTCAAATGAGTACCTGGTGCGCTGTGTAAAACATCAGCACTGGGCGGCCGGCCGTGGTGCTGGCCACCCACCCTCCTCCGTGTGCCACAGTGCCGGCCTTCGTAGCTGCCGCTTGCTAACAGCACTTGCCCCAACAGTCTGTCAAAGGCTACACAGGCAAATCTTGATCTTTGTGTGTACACCCGATGCTTCACGCCTGACTGCTGACGAGACACCGAGCGGCGAAGCCGGTCCCAGAGTCTTTTGCTCGTGGTCGGACCAACGCCGCTCAAATGATGCGCTCCCAGAACGCCGTTGGGGCTGATGGGATGCGTGGACAGAAACGAAATGTAACGTGAGAGAGGTGGAGGTGGAGGCCTATAATCTGTCTTCTTGGTTCTTTCGGTAAAGTCACGTAGAAGGGAAGTAATAAACTAATTAAAATAAAACATAAAATAATTATGTTTTATTTTTTATTAAAGTCACGTAGAAGGGAAATAATAAACTAATAAAAATAAAGCAATAAAATAATTATCTTTCATTTTTATTATTTTATTACTTCCCTTCTACGTGACTTTACCGAAAGAACCGAGAAGATGAATCACTGTAGTCACGAAAGCGTTAAATCGAAAAAAGCCTATAATCTGCTTCATTTGTGTTCCTGTTAAAGAAGGTCCACGGCCCGAAACGTCGCCCATTGCTTCTTCAAGACGGGATGTAAATCGGCCAAACTTACTCTCTGTCTGCCCCCACCCGGCCATGGAGCAGCGGTCCCCGGGGCGGGGGCACGAGGTCGCCAGGGGGATGATGGAGACGCCGGGGCCCAGGCGGGGGGCGGGGGACACCTGCAGGAGGGCCAGGTCCCCCTCGAACGACTCGGAGCGGGGGTCGTAGGAGGGGTGCACCACGTGGCGAGTCACCCGCGGGTCCCTGTGGCACACGGGACGCAAGGTCCGCTCGCCCAGCAGAACGCGGGCCGTGCGGCGAGCGAGGTTCAGGCTGCGGCGGGGGAGAGAGGGGGGGCGAAAGGAGAGCGGGGGGGGGGATGAGAGTGTATGATGATAGTGGTGGTGATTGGGGTGCTGGTGATTACACTGGTCAACAACAAAAAAACATATTTTTCTGGCCTGGACTTTTGCAGCTGTTTTAGACTAATTTTAGGGTGCTGATTCAAAATCTGATCTCAGATTTGCTCTATCACATCTCATTTTTATGCTATCGGCATACCCCATTTTCATTGATTTTACCCGAAATTAACTCTGTCACTTATGATTGCAAGTTGTTGCGAGTCAGTAACTGCTTTAGTGTTAAAATATGGTGCTGTATTTTTTGCATAGTGTGTTTATAATATCATTTTATGTAGATATCCACATTTATTTAATATTTTTCTTCCGCAGTTTATATTGAAAATGCAATCTTTGACATCTCAAAAACCTGATGTGATAGACAAAAACTGATGCCAGATTTGGAATCAGCACCCCAAGATTACCTTAAAACCGTTGGAATACTTTATGCCAGAAAAAGTGTGTTGACCAGTGTTATTGTAGTGGTGTTAACTACTCGCTGTTCGCAAACTGTGAGAGAGCGGATCGTAAACAAGGTTCTCCCGTTCAATCAAACGGTCAGGGTCAAATGGGGTGAGGTAGGATCCAAACGCCAGATTGGGAAGGACCAATCGGAGGGTCCCACAAGGTGGCCGGGGATTGGACAACCCGGCCACGAACAGGTATAAAAGCCAGAGCGCTGAGAGCTCTTGGCCAGTTCTGCTACACGAAGACCAAAGTCGGCCGAAGACATCTAGGACCCTGGACCAAGCCCTCCAGCCCTTATCAGGGCTAGGGCTCAGTGTAACCAGTGGTCGGGGAGAGATCCCCTAGGTCCAGCCAGAGGACGCTGGGATAACAGGGAGATTAGATAGCCTGCAAGGTCCGGAGGCTGTACCTTCTCAGGGTAACGGGTGAGGGGACCATATACCCCTTTGTGTGATAGGGACTGTGTATTATTTTCATAAACAGTGTGTGCCATAAAGAAGTTTAGAAGTCCGTCCTTTACAACACTACATTATCATGACCCCAGGCGATTTCGCTGGACCTCCATATCCCCCACTCCCTCCCCTGCCTCCCGCCCACGTGAGCTCACCTGGAGAGGCAGTGCGCCGCGGTCAGGATCCAGTCGGGAGCGACGAGAGCTCCGCCACACACGTGCTCCCCGCGGTGGTTCACGATCGAGGCGAGCCACGGGTGGGCCAGCGGCGGGCAGGGCTCACCGCCGTACATCTGCAGCGGCGCCTTGGGCTCACCACCTGCATCTCACCGCCACAACCCCAGACGCCGGCGATTAGCGCGGGAAAAAATTAACCCGTAAAAACAAAGTTTTTCACTCTAAATCCTTTATATGCGTGGCGGCTAGAGTCCTCTCGTCCTCTGGCTTGAGATGGCTGCCACCTATGGGTCAGATGATTGCCTGCCACCATTAAGCAATTGGTAATTAAATAGAATTTTTTTTTTCCCTAAAAAGTGTAATGTTATGGAAAAAATCGAACTCGGGATGCCGGGTTCATAGTGCAGCGTGCTAACCACTACGCCACCGCTCCGCCCAGCCACACGCAAAACAAAGACAAAGATCCCCCATATAGCCTTAACAGACAACACACGCATAACAACAACAACCGCCATTCGCCACTAAGTGGCGGTGACGTCACCACGACGCTTGTGCCAGGCCATGTGCACCTTGAGGCCAGACAATAGCGTACACGCACTGCCGTCCATAGCACACGTGCCGTGTCCTGTGTCCCATGTCCCATGCCCTGTGTCTCGTAAGCCGTGTCCCTCATGTGAATTAATTAGGAGACAGGGGCCATAGCTTTCCCCTGGAATGTCGTTTGTCATGATCACAGTTCGCACACGAATACGCATGTTTGTTAGTGATTAGAAACTTTAAACATATTTTTTTATTTGACCAGGTAAGGTCCACTGAGTTAAAACTTAATTTGGAACTTTCGTGACTGCAGGAATTATTCTTAAGGTTCTTTCGGTAAAGTCACGTATAAAGATAAAATAATAAATAAAATTAAATACTAGCATACGACGTTTCGATTGCAACACAAGTATACTAGATTTGTGCTTCTATTTAATTTATACCTGATGATAATTGCTTGTGTTGCAATAGAAACGTCGTATGCTAGTATTTAATTTTATTTATTATTTTATCTTTATACGTGACTTTACCAAAAGAACCAAAGAATAATCCACTGAGCTATTTCGCTCTTTTTCAGAAGCCACCTGGCCACAGATGACAGCTCAACGAAGCGGCTTATCATTTAGATATTTATAGCAGCCAAATACCCTAAACGCATCCCGATTGTAAACGTGGAGGGGAAAACCAGAGGACCCATAGAAAAACTACAAAAATACATAATGTGACACATTTATAAATAACGCGATCTGACCCAAAAACCTATATTATGAATAATATTGGTCGTCAAAGCCTACGTGTCCAAATATACAGCAGACACCAGCGTCAGGATCAAACCCACGACCTCCTGTAGACCTGGCGAGATAGTTAAGATCTCTTAGCCACCTTGACACCCCCGACCCCTCAATGCCACACGCGCTCTCCGTTTGTTGCTGATGAGCGTTGGGCACCAACCGCGTTTCCATGTCGCGTTACTAAATCGTCGCGTTACGAATTCGTCGCGTTACGGAGTTGCGTAATTGAGTCGTGTTACTGTGTCGCGTTACCAAGTCGCGTTCCTAAGTCGTCCCCAATGAACCGCACCTGCCGCTCCAGGATGACTTCTTCAACCCACTGGAGGCGACGCTTCCTCCTCTCAAGAAAACCGATTTGGCAATACCCACCCATTGACTTGAACACAAATATTCTTAGGTTTTTTCGGTAAAGTCACGTAGGTAAAACATTAAAATTAATAAAAGTAAAATAAAATAAAAAATCACGACGTTTCGGAGGCAACACAAGCTTCCGTCTTCAGGTGGAACCGTCACAGCCACGACAGCTGTACTTGATACAGTGATTTTTATTTTATTTAACTTTTATTAATTGTAATGTTTTACCTACGTGACTTTACCGAAAAAACCTAAGAATATGAATCCTTGCAGTCACGAAAGCTTCAAATCTAGAATTGAACACAAATCTCACCTGGACACACGAATGGTAGTCAGTGGAGCTGGTAAACAAAGAGTATCTCATTACTACCCCCACCCAAAATGCTCCCTGGTTTCAACGTCCCCAGGAAGGAGTGGTCCACCCTCAACATGTTCAGGGCTTGACGCGACCCATACCTCGCCAACCTCCACCGATGGTACATCAGAGCCAATCCCAACCATGTGCCTGCGGGGTGGAGAAAACCACGCACCGCATCCTAGAAGTCTGCCAAATCCACAAGCTCGCCCTCAACACAGCAGGGCCGGAAGCAACCGATTGGATTCGAGACTTTTGCTAAATAACTAATACTGTTGATTTGAAGCTTTCGTGACTGCAGGAATCCATACTCTTTGGTTCTTTCGGTAAAGTCACGGAGGTAGAACAAAAATAACAACAGATCACGACGTTTCGATCGCAACAACAAGCGACTATAATGCCTCGTCGTCCACAGCAGTCGGATTCTCTCACCTGAAGACGGTCCCTTGTTGTTGCGATCGAAACGTCGTGATCTGCTATGTTTTTTTCTACCTACGTGACTTTGCCGAAAGAACCAACGAGTAATTACTAATCAATTGCACCACTTCGTGGCGTAACCAAGTCACGTGGCCAAGTCGCGTTACCGCACTGCACTGCCCGTTCCTAGTTACGTGACCCCCGTCACGTGACCCCAGGTGCACGTGGAGTCAGGGTGGAGTTGCCCTCACCTGCGTTGGGAATGAGCAGCGCGGAGAGAATGGCGAGAGAGACGAACAGCCAGACACCTGCGTGGGTCATGGAGACACGGGGTCAGATGAGGCACGGGGTCACATGAGGCACGGGGTCAGATGAGGCACGGGGTCACGGGGTCGGAGACACGGAGGCGTGGAGTACATGGGTTCAGAAGCCATGGGACACGCGCGGTCAGAGACGCAGACGCAGTGACAGAGACACGGGGACGGGACGAGAGACGCGGAGACACTCGCGGACACACGGAGACTCTCACGGACAGCAACACACGGGGACGGCAATAGGGACACGGGGACAAAGAACACGGGGGGGGGGGGGCAGACACGGGTGAGTCTCGGGGAAATGTGTGTCTGTGTGTCTGTGTGTGTGTGTCTGTCTGTGTGTATGTGTGTCTGTGTGTATGTGTGTCTGTGTGTATGTGTGTCTGTGTGTCTGTGTGTATGTGTGTCTGTGTATGTGTGTCTGTGTATGTGTGTCTGTGTGTGTGTGTCTGTGTGTATGTGTGTATGTGTGTCTGTGTGTCTGTGTGTATGTGTGTATGTGTGTCTGTGTGTATGTGTGTCTGTGTGTATGTGTGTCTGTGTGTCTGTGTGTCTGTGTGTCTGTGTGTATGTGTGTCTGTGTGTATGTGTGTCTGTGTGTCTGTGTGTATGTGTGTCTGTGTGTCTGTGTGTATGTGTGTCTGTGTATGTGAGAATCGGCAGTGTGGTCGTGAGCGCGCTGCACTACGAACTAGCCCACCCCGAGTTCGATTCCCCGCTCACGGCCACCGACAGTGGTGACGATTATCTGAACCGATCCGGGGGCCTCCCCCTCGGTCGACTCGGCCTCAAATGAGTACCTGGTGCGGTGTGTAAGCATCACCACTGGGGAGACAACGGCGGCCGGGCGTGGTGCTGGCCACATAACCCCTCCGTGTGTCGTTTCGGCTTTCATCGGTGCTACTCGCTCACAGCACTTGTCCCAGCAGTCTATTAACAGCGATACAGAGGAATCTTTGTCGTCCTTTGTGTAAGTTAACCAAACGACCATGGGGGCAGGACCCTCCTAAGAACGAATGCCGAGACTCCCCACCCGCCACCCTTACACAGAGACTCGGAGCCAATGCCACTGATGAATTGTAATCAAAACTTCCGTTCCAGTCTTCCCGTTTCCTCTCCCCCCACGAAGCTAGGGGGGTGCAGAGGGGATAGGTTAAGAAGGAGGGAGGGGGAGGGGTGTTCACACAGAAGGACACTCACCTGTTGTCGACATGGCGAGTTGCTGGAGGAGGCTGAGTTGATATGTCCTCACACTCGGTCGGTTTGGTCTTTATAAAGCCGAGAGGATGTGTGGGTGGGGACGCAGCGGAGGTGAGTGTGGGGGGGGTCTTTGTATTTGAGTGGAATGTGAGTGTGGGTGTGAGTGCGTGAGGTGTGTCATCTCGGTCATCTCAGTCAGTCGACCCGTGGCACCTGCTGGGTTTGCCCCGTGACCTCCTGCCAGCGGGCGTTCGACACTTCACGTGGCCTCAACATGCACATAGCCTGGCACAAGCGTCGTGGTGACGTCACCGTCACTTGGTGGCGAATGGCGGTTGTTGTTGTTGTTGGTGTGAATTTGGTGAGTGGAATGTGAGTGTGGGGAGCGGTGGTGTAGCGGTTAGCGCGCTGCGCTACGTACCCGGCGACCCGAGTTCGATTTCCGCCCGCGGCCACCACCAGTTGACGATTGTCTGAACCAGTCATGGGTCTCCCCTAGGTCGACTCGGCCTAAAATGAGTGCATTGTGTGAACATTGCCACTGGGGAGACAAAGGCGGTCGGGTGTGGTGCTGGCCACCCACTCCCTCGTGTGCCGTACCGGCCGTCATCGGTGCCACTCGCTACCAGCACTTGCCCCAACAATCTGTAAGGGCTATACAGGGGATCTTTGTTTGTGTGTGTGTCTGATGTTGCGTTAGTGCGAATATTTTAGTTGGGTGAGGTCACCGATTCCCAGGAAAATTCCCCCCCTCCCCCCATGCCCCCTCCCCCAATTCCCCCCCACCAGTTTCTCACAACAAAATTCCCACTTTTGTGACTCAGAGGTGACAGAGCTCACAACAACAGCTCTGATCGCACGCGACGGCCTCCTCGTCGAGGTCGAGCTGCCGTCTGATTCCGGCGAGCCCGCCGGAACCTCGCTGATGAGACCCTCGAATGCCGAAACCTGCAGAGCGGTGCTCGTGTTGGAGCCAGTGTGCCCCCCGCCCCCCCCCCCCCCCCCCCACACAGGAGGAGACGGTCGTATTTCAGAATCAAAATAACATTGATTTTCTTACTCATACTGGAGGACTCCGATGAGATGTAACGATCTTTTAAAATCCTTTATATTAAGTTCACTTGCTTGCTTGCTTGCGCGCTTACGACCGTGCAAATCTTTCGGTCGTTTTTTAACCCACTTCCCGTGATCCAATCGAGCTGACATTTTGCACACAGACTCGTTGTGCGTGACAATGTATTTTCGTGAAAATCTTTCCAAAATTTTACACTTTTTAGGAAAAAATTAATTATATTTAATTACCAATTGCTTAATGGTGGCAGGCAATCATCTGACCCATAGGTGGCAGCCATCTCAAGCCAGAGGACGAGAGGACTCTAGCCGCCACGCATATAAAGGATTTATAGTGAAAAACTTTGTTTTTAAGGGTTAAAATTTTCACAAGTTCATCAGCGTGTGGACAGCTTATGGAATGCGTACAAAAAAAATAAAAGTTGAGATATTCAAGAAGGAAGACGCATATTGCCCAATAAACATTGAACGTCGAGGGCCAACGTTGCACCAACGTTAGCCCAACGTTGCGCCTCTACGTTCCAACAGCATGCCAACGTACTCGATCACATCGGTCGTGTTCACTGGGTGCCCGCCAATTTGAACGGGCCGTCTGAGTTGCGTCTTCGACATGCGTGTCGTTGTATGCAAGTCGACAAAACGTCGATTGAGATGACTCGTAATGCTGGATCATCACACACCAACCGCCCCCTTCCCTCCCTCCCTGTACGTGCATCGCCATGCTCGGAGCGACTTGCTCTGGCCGCTAGACGCCGCTAGAAATGCGTAACCATACCATCTCTCTTCTTGGTTCTTTCGGTAAAGTCACGTAGAAGGGAAATAATAAAATAATAATATAAAACATAAAATTATTCTCGCGACTCTAAGACCTGGTCTTCACCTGAGGACGGCTGCTTGCGTTGTGGCCGAAACGTCGTGAGAATTATTTTATTATGTTTTATTTTTATTATTGTATTATTTCCCTTTTACGTGACTTTACCGAAAGAACCAAGAAGATGAATCCCTGCAGTCACGAAAGCTTTAAATCCAAATCATACAATCTCTGTTGAGACAATCGCAATAATGTTCACTTAATCACAAATACTTCAAGTATATCATCAAATAATCCTACAAATACAAATATTCCCCGTAAAGCCTTTAACAGACTGTTGGGGCAAGTGCTGTTAGCGAGCGCCTATGAAGGCGGGCACGGCACACGAGGTGGTGGGTGGCCAACACCACGCCCGGCCGCCTTTGTCTCCCCGGTGGCGATGTTTACACACCGCACCAGGTACTCATTTGAGGCCGAGTCGACCTAGGGGAGGCCCAGGACTGGTTCAGATAATCATCACAGGTATTGGCCGTGAGCGGGAATTGAACTCGGGTCGCCGGTTTCGATCAGCGCGATTCGCTAAACGCTCCACCAACACTCCCACACACAACCGACGAAGTGGCAGTAACTTCACCACGCTGCTTGTGCCATCCTAGGTGCACTTTAAGGCCATGTGAAGTGTCGAAGGCTCGCTGGCAGGAGATCGCGGGACAGATCCAGGTGCCATGGGTTGACTGTGAAAAAAAAATAGAGATGACTGGCAGATACACCATCTACTATGCCAACTATCTGCTTTTTATCCGCCCGGTGCTCCGCTCGTTGTTGTGAGCGTCGCTCCTCTGCCCTCCGTTGTTGCTGGAGGGCGGCTGCCTCCAACTGCCCAGTAGCGTCCTTCACGAGCCTCCTCCACAGAGGCTGATCTTGACACCGCTGGTACCGGTCTTCGGCAAGTCCACTCAGCTCCACATCCTCCTGTACCACATCACTCCATCTCTTCTCTAGTCTGTGCTGTACCCGGTTTGCCCTCTATATCCTGCCAAACAGAAGCTGTTTGGTGATGCGGTGGCTGGGTATGCGGGCTACATGACCCAGCTGTGCCCGCCGGAGGAACTCATTAATGGGACTATGTCCTTATCTTTAAAAAAAAAAACGTGTAAGCTCCTCGCAACACCATACAAAGGTAAAGATCCCTCGTATGGCCTCTTCGGACTGTTGTGGCAAGTGCTGTTAGCGAGTGGCATCTATGAAGGCCGAAAACGGTACACGGGTAGTGGGTGGCCAGCACCACGTCCAGCCGCCTTTGTCTCATTCGTGGCTGAGTCGACCTAGGCGAGGCCCAAAACCGATTCAGATAATTGTCAGTGTTGTTTTTTTTTTCGATTTAACGCTTTCGTGACTGCAGGGATTCATCTTCTTGGTTCTTTCGGTAAAGTCACGTAGAAGGGAAGTAATAAAATATTATATTATTCTATTATGCTTTATTTTTATTATTTTATTACTTCCCTTCTACGTGACTTTACCGAAAGAACCAAGAAGATGTCAGTGGTGGTGTTGGTGGCCGTGAGCGGGAATCAAAGTTTGGGTCTCTGGGTTCGCGGCGCTAAGCGCTGCACTGCCGCTCCCCACACACACACACAGATGTACACGCCGACACACACAATCACACACAGATAGTACACACACACAAACACATACCCACAGACGTGTCGAGAGAGAGAGAGGCGCGTGCTATGAGATGCCAGGTGTGGTTAGTTGGTGGCGTCACGGGAAATTTGCAGTAGTTAAAACTTTGTATCCCCCCCAGGCAAATTGATTCCATTGGGGTGAGTTGGGGAGGGGGGGTTGTATTTCCTAAACGGATACGGCATATTCAAGAATTGGGCAATCAATTTAAACGTCTATGAATGATGTAATAACTTCCGAGAGATCGTTAACATTGGGGGGTGGGGGGGGGGGGGAATGATGAAACCATCACGTGACCATGTGCCGGCTGGATCGTGAGAGATGTCCAGCAACTTGTGGGAGGGTTTCATCCAGCAGTGGAGTGATCCTGGCCGATGATTGTGATGATGACGATCATCGTGATGATGGTGATGATGACGATCATCGTGATGATGGTGATGATGACGATCATCGTGATGATGGTGATGATCGATACGGTATGTGTTTGGGCTAAAATCCACACACACACACGTGAATAACGATTGGATCTATAGACGATGATATGATGCACCTGCCTTGCTGATGAGCGCTTGTCAAGGTGAAATCCGGACCGTGCCCCGTGTGTTTCTCGTGGAGTGTTTCTGCGAGGGACAGGGCCGCATCGTGAAGGTTACGCGTGGCTCTGGAAAGCCAACAACTTGTGTTTCTTTCATTGGCTCGACTCTGCTGATGAGATCCACAAACGGTGAAACGTGCCCGGAAGGGTATTAATTCTAGATTTGAAGCTTTCGTGACTGCAAGGATTCATATTCTTAGGTTTTTTCGATAAAGTCACGTAGATATAAAATTAAAATTAATAAAATTAAAATAAAATTAAAATCACGACAGTCACAGCACGATTGCTTTATCAAGTAAGACAAGTATCACTTGATACAGCTATCACTTGATACAGCTATCGTGCTGTGATGGTTCCACCTGAAGACGGAAGCTTGTGTTGCCTCCGAAACGTCGTGATTTTTATTTTATTTTTATTTTACTTTTATTAATTTTAATTTTTTATCTACGTGACTTTACCGAAAAAACCTAAGAATACGTGCCCGGAAGGTTGGACTGGAGAGATGTTTAGCAGCGTACGCGTTCATCAGAGAACACGCGATGGTTAGCGGCCTCATCACATTGATCTCCATCCAATAGTGGAGAGACCCTGGTGCTGATGATGACACTGAGAGAGACAGAGAGAGGAACACGTGGACTCGAGATGACACGCAGGGTACAGACATCGTCGTGAGCGAGCGAATGAGCTTGGCCAGGAACGCGTCGCAAGAAGAGACGAAAGACCGGTGGTCGAGACTGACTACATCTTCTTGGTTCTTTCGGTAAAGTCACGTAGAAGGGAAATAATAAAATAATAAACATAAAACAATCAAATAATTCTCACGACGTTTCGGCCACAACGTAAGCAGCCGTCCTCTTCTCGACAGACATGTTCTCCTCCTGAGGACGGCTGCTTGCGTTGTGGCCGAAACGTCGTGAGAATT